AAAACATGTTATACAACTTTATACTGCATTTTATTTCTGGAATGAGTTAATAAATTACGTCGAAAATGTCGCAAACTCTATATACATTTAGAAACCAGCACGTTTACGGTAGTGTCTTACATCGTCGTTTTGTTGAAGTGATAAACGAACCAGATGAATTATTTCTATAATTATTACAGAAGATCGTACTGTCATTGTTTTGTTCGTAGATTTTCATGTTTATTGCTTCTGTTCCATGTCAAATTCTGTTTACATGGATTCATGGATCTCAAGATAATTCATTTCATTCTTTTTCAAGCGTGCAACCCTTCATTTATTTCGGTGAATGATGTTGATTATTTTAAGTTTTAAATATTTGATCTATTTGTTTGCTATACTTCTCTTTTTACAAACCGTTTATTTTGAATTTTGGTCATCTGACACACAGCGCGACTTTTTAGCCTAATTTTTCAGTCGTCGTATTTTATTTATTCTTATCATCTGTTATTTTTCTCACAGTTTCAAGTATTAACTACTACAATGGTGTAATAATCACATCTTGTCATTTTATGAAATTTTTATATAAATTATCAAACATAATTTTCGCAACATTACAAATCCAGGGCGCACAAACATTTCGTTCATTAATTGTGGCAAATATCTGCTTCAGTTCGAAAACTGGACAACTTAATTAACAGAAAAAGGCACAACAACTGTCATACTGCACTCTTTTGAATCTTAATAAAGAAAATTTCCATATATTAGTTCACATCGGTGTCAGTCGAGACTGATTATGTTGACAGTCACTAGCAATGCTTTTTAGTAAGTCCATGAAAGATGAACCACCAGTTCCCAATTCGCAGTTATCTTCTGCCGGCAGAACGATAAACTTTTCGACCTGAAAAGTATGACGTTGTATACGACACTAATTAAATATTGAATACAATTTAAACGCAATAAGTTGAAATACTTTCCATTTTTATGTGTGATTCTCGAAATTTTCTCACAGCTTGTACAGCTCGGTAATAGCCGGTTGCGTATTTTAGGTTAAGAATTTTGGCAGCACTCTGTCGAACCCAAAGAATGAAGTCACGATGTTTTGGTGGCATGTATTCTCGTTGAAGTGCCAAAAATTCTTCAACATGATAAGAATGTTTAATTCCAAGAAATCCGTCTATTACATGGAAGGTAGAACTTTGTGCTGCGGATCCTCCATTAAGTAACTGAGGACCAAGATCCTGTCTACCTGAAATGATTTGTCCTTATAGTAAATTTAAGATCGTTTGATCCAAATGTTCTAAAGATAATTCAACTAGTTTAAATCCTCTTTCCAGTTACTATATTTCCTTACCGTTATAAACAAATTATATACTCTATACGCACTTAATTATCAAAAATACTTTTGATATCAACTGATATATCTCTCTTTCAAAAAAAAAGACCTTCAAATATGATGCCTCCTTGTTCTACCATTGGTTTTGTAGTATAACCTGACAAAAATATGCGAAATCCATGGTAGAAAACATCTGGTGGAACGTAGTCCTCCATACGCTATAGTTTTATGATTAAAAATCATGCAAGGGAAAAGGTTATTTGTCTTTCTAAAGGGTTTCGCCTTGAATGAATCCGCTATACATGTACACAAGCAGACATTTACTCAATCATCTAACCAGTTTCTAAATATCATTCTCATAGTGCTTGACATGGTTTAATAATTCAATAAAACAAGGTTTAATAATTCTAAAACGAATTCAAATCTGTCGACTGAATCCTTCAGCTCATCAAGTCAAATGTCAATCATTTTTTCGATCCATACTTCTAACCGTTAATTTAGCTCTTTTCAGAAAATTACTAAAGATAGAAGATGCAGAAAAAGCCAAAAATTCCCATACTATATTCAATTTCCATTCAAAAAGTAATTAGGTTAATTAAGATGTGTTATAATTTACCTTCATGGTGGCAGTTGCTGTTTTTACCGCATTAGTTATATGTAACATGGTTGATTGTTCAATTTCTCCGCGCCAGCACGCACTTGCGATTGCGCATAATGCTTCAGCTAATTCTGCTTCTATCTGTAACTTCTTTAAGCATCGAATTTCGTTCTTGCTGAAAATAAATGCAAGCAAAATCTAATTTTAAATCTATTTTACTTGTGCGGTAAGTGTGAAGAACCACCGGTTGCCAGGATGCTGCACAAAGCGGAAAGCAATAATGTCTGCTGCTGCAGCATCAAACGATTCCGATTCTCGAATCGGTCTCCAGTTAGCTAAACACACTGATGCATGACATGCTATTGGTTTGAAGCTTAGCCGTTTACACACTTCCAGTAACGGTATCGAAATAGATGCTGGAACTGAGAGTCGAGCCTAAAAATATCCAAATAAAGATCAAAAAATATGCTGTCGAGTTGTGAAATATTTCAGAAAAAAATTAAGCCATGCAAAATAATGAAACAAAACAGAAATATTCAAGAATTCGAAGTTAAAATATTAGGAAGATCAGTTTACTTTATCAAGCCCATCTTGCCAAATATATCCAGCTGCTAAAGTGACAAGTAATAGATGAGCCAAACGTAATTCCTTGTTACTGGTGAGACTATCAGTGCTTATCACTGGAAGTTGCTCAATTCGATGGTTTAACAATTTCTGCGCTATCAACTGCTCCATATTGTCTAAAAGAATATGGTGACAACTATAGGTAGCAAAATGTTATGGAAGTTTTTTATTGCAAAAAATAAGAATTATTTAGTCAGTAAAACAAAATTTTAATCTGGTAACAACATCATATGGATGAAAACTTGTAAAATTTCTGTAATCTTGTATCATTCGTTTTTTTTTTTTTATCAAATAATTCCTGTAAAACTGTCTCAATTACCAAATTCAAAAGTGTTGGGTAAAAAAAACTTATCAGAAATTTGATGCCACTGCTCAAACGCTTCTGGAAGCTTAATTAGTGGATCTGCAATCAAGAATCCAGTTTTTTGGTCGATTTCAAAGTACGTCAAAAGATCCACCACACTTTGATCAAGATTCATATCAAATGCTTTCTTTGCTTACTTTTTTCCTGCAATTTGAATATTGCACTAAAATATGTATTACTTAGAAGTATCTCAAGCAATATTTCTGAAAGTAAGGAAATCTTTGGGGATACTTTTAAGCAAGCAATCAAGAATTTTAAAAAGTTATCATTTAGAAAAGTTTACAAACTAAATATGCATTTGAATTATATGCGAAGAAATTTTGTGCTTACAAAATAATCTTCTAAGAATAATGTAGTAAGTGATGTGATACTTGATAATACACACATAAAATGTATGATATCTTTCTAGAACTCAGTAAAATTAATTATCTCATCGTAATTAAAGAAGAAATTAATTAAAACTAAAGCTGTTAATTATCAGTTGATCATAATTTTCCAAATAATATAAAACCAATCAGCACAACACTACGAATACATTATTGCAGCAGTGAAAATAACAAGTAAGTTTTAATTTTTAATACCACACATATTTAGTACTAAAAACTGTTCGTAAAAACGGAAAAGGTCAGTGACCTTTTTTATTTATAATCAAACTTTAAAGTAAGACTTTTTTTTTGCTTTTTATAAACATATTATAACTATTACATATACAAACATAAAATTAATCACACATAAAATGCGCTATTTCTATGCTATCATTAATTTAATCATTTCATTACAAG